ATGAAGTTTTTTATTCACTGTCTCTTCTATATCTTGCCTTTAAAAGGCCTGCTCCATGCCCCTCTGCTCCATCCAAGAGAGTCTAAAATCTTACGTTGCTCAGATGCCTATCTTTGTAGAGACAGGTTGTCCCAAGATGGTTTTCCCTGAGAAGAAAGCAAGAAGTAATGGACCACAGGCTCAGCAGGGGCAATTGAAAGCAGACTTAAGGACTAAATTTTCTAGGGCATTTTACCCTGGTTAAAACAGTGCTGGAGGGACAGTGATGGGAAGATAGGAACTCTAGCCACCGAGTGACCCACACCTCTGACTCAGAGGGTCTGGTGACCATGGGGGCTCCTTGAAATTGCCAAGGACGGCAAGCTCATTGAGACCCAACACTTACAACCCATTGGAATGTCAGTTGGGACATGTTAATGAAGGGTCAAGCCCAAGGCAGGGTCTAGGAGGCTGAGAAACCGAAGAATGCCTACAAATTATACTGAGTGAGTTCTGACTCTGACTCTGCCTGGCTTTTGGTGAGAAGGTAAACAGAAACCTATTGTGCTCCATGCCTCAGTTTAGAACAGTGACAGCCATCAACATGTTACTTTAGTAATATTTAGTTGATATTCTCTATTTCAACTTTAAAACTATGCTGGGAGCCAGGATAGGCCAAATGGGATTGAACTTTGGACATAAATGCTTGCATTTAAAGTCTTGTACCAAGTAATTTATGAGGGCCACGGATTGAATATTAGGATTGGTGGATGTTGATGTATTATTTAATTGCTAACTAATTTGCTAAATATTTATAAAGCCCTTGTTACAGGGCAACGCAACATTAATTGGGTTGCCTGTCTGTGGGTTGCCTCACCGGTGCGCTTAAGATTCAACTGTAGACACACACAAGAAGTCAATAATGGGTTTATTTACAAGGGAAAAGAAGGAAAAGAACAACTCAGGGAAAGAGAGAGAGAGAGAGATACAAGTTAACTAAAGCATCCTACCAGTTCTACTGACCCGATAGCACACTGAAAGCTGATCAAAAGCCAAGCGACCAGCCACCAGCCGTGAGGCTGGAGAGAGAGCCTCCGCCCAACATGTCCAGCTTTATATCCAAACCCCTCAAAATGGCTATTTAACCTCACCCTTGGGTCCTAGTAGTCTTCCCTTTGGTGTTACTGGGATACATAGTTTCCGTGTCTGGAATGAGGGTGGAGTCCACAAAACATGTATCTGTAGAGTCCGCTCAGGACTCCTTTTCCCCACCCTTACTGAGTGCTAGACACTATGAGAAGGAGGTGAAAATCATTTTTTTTTTTAAGCAGATTAGAAAGACAAACATTTGCAATTAGAATATGGCAGGCACCGTGAAGGGGATTGGCACAGATCATTCTGCTAGCCTAGTGATCCTCATCTAAACCACCTTGGAAGAAAAGCAGATATGAGAGTAGACTTTCTGGCGGAAAGTCTTAAAGGGTGAGTAAAAGTTTGTTAAGTAGAAAAGTGGGGGCAGATAGATGCACAGAAACAAAATTCAGTCAAAATGAGTTTCTGAAATTAAGCAATTTATTTTGCAGGCTGTTCATAGGGGACTTGTATGAGTTGAAGCTGAAAAGCATGTATCAAGTGAAAAAGATCTTGCATGCATGCTAGGATATTTTATTTAAATCACTGAACAGTTAAAATAGAAGGGAGGTATGACTGGCTTGGAATTGTTAGCAATTTTTCTTTTTCTTTTTCTTTTTTTTTTTTTTTTTGGGCCAATAAAGAAGAGAGAGGTTGGGCAGCATACAGAACAGCACTTACAGTGTTTAATGCTCACCGGTTGCCCTTTCACCTGTCTTCATGATTCCTTTCTCCTTCTAAAATCTAGTTCTTCCCTGTCTTATTCAATGTATCTTCCTGCCACCTCCAATTTTAGTCAAGTAACTGAGCTTATCCAAACATGCCATGCTCATTCCCATTTGTCATGCCATTCAACATTTAGTAAGTACCTGTTGTATACCAGCCACAGTGATTGGCATGGGGACCACAAGTGACTGACACATGGAATCTCCCTTCCAGGAGCATGTTGTTACTGTGAGCATGGCAAAAACTATAGTGTGAAACAAACATCCAGTACCATGGGCACAAGGAGAACAGAATTCTGTTGATAAGAAGATCTCCTTTTCTACTAAACCCCGCCCATCCTTTGGCTACTGACTTCATTCTGCTTAGAAGCAGGGCAGTGTCTCTATATACTATACAATAGTCACACCATTCTTTAATGTACACTGTTCAGTCATTTCACACACCCCTAAGCTTGGCATGCAAGACCCTTCTCCATCTGAGAGGGTAATGTAATGGTTGGAACTTTGACTTTTCACTCAAGCAAAGTTTTAGTCCTCGGTGCTACTACTTAAGAGAGATGTCATTTTTGTCCTGAGGGACAAAAAAAAAAAATGCTTATTTATAAAATGGGGCTCATATATCAACTTGACAGTTATTGTGAAGGTTAAATGAGTTGATAAGCATATAAATTTTTAGGATGGTCCTTTGCATGTGAAAAATGTTCAGCACTTATTGACTATTATGGAGATTTTACTCATTTTCTTTTGGGTCAAGAAAATGTGTCAGGAAACCTTAATCCTAATTATTATTGTGAATCTTGGCCAATTGTAATGTGTTGTCATATTAGTTCTCTCTAGGATTATTTTATTCTCCTGTGGGGCAATATACAGTATAGCTGTATCTGTACTGCTAAGATACCTATAGCATTGGGTAGGGTAACGAGTCATCCCAGTTTGCCTGGGACTTACAAGCTTTCCATAATGCACAACTTTTGGTGCCAAAAATCTGGAAAGTTCTGTGTGAATTGTCCACCTTGTATTCACTGACATTTCAAGTTTGTTTTCTGTTTAACTCCTAATGGTGTAGAACTTAACTTGCAAGCAAGCTGTCTTTGCCTTTGCCACTTTTTATTTATTGTCTACAAAATACAAAGTTATAGCTCGTATCTTTTTTTTTTTTTTTGAGGTTTCCTAAGATTGCCTCAAGTTTAAAGTGCAAAATTTAGGGGATTCCTGAAAAAAGCTCACCCTATGTACTAGAAACTGTGCATAAGCATCTTCCTTAACCTGGTCAACAGCCCCAGAGATCTCCTCCTGCCTGTCATTTCCCATCACTCCCGATATTTCCATCATGACTATATTTCCTTCATTTTCTTTCCAGAATCAACATCCCTGATTTAACTCAGTGGCAAAACCTCCTTCTTCACACAAGATCATGTTTTGCCATGAATTTCCCCAGGTGTAAGGGAGGTGCCCCAGCTTACCAGCATTGGGCAGGATTTGCTGTCCTTCTGGCATTCTATAAGGATCATACTGGTTCTCTATTAGTATTCCATAAATCCATTACAGGTGTTTGGAAGGCCTGCCCATCTTTGCAATCAAGAGCCCCTCAAAGCTTCCAGTGTGTTTGTTTCTCTGGACTTCCAAAACAAAGTGCCACAGCGTGGGTGGTCCAAACACAGGAACTTATTGTCTCAAAGTTCTGGAGGTTAGAAATCAGGACAAGGTGTCAGCAGGGTGAGTTCTTTCTGAAGGACTTAAGGGGGAATCCATTCCCTGCCACTCTCTTCACTCCCTAGGGTTTGTTAGCACTCGGCTTGTAAATACAGCATCTGATCTCTGCCTTTTCTTCATATGGCCTTCTCCCTACCTGTGTGTCCATTTTTTACATGGTGTTCTTTTTTTTGAGGATACCAGTCTTATTTGATTAGGAGCCCACCCTAACTAAGAGCTTAGCTAATTACTTGTTCTTAACTAGTTAAATATGCAATGTCTTGGCTTCCAAATAAGATCACACTATGAGATAACTGGGTGTTAGGACTTCAGTATGTGAATTTAGGGGGGACAAAATCCATTCCTTAACAATGAGGTCTTAAGGTAAGGGAAAAAAAAAACTCCATGGAAACCAGAAGTCATTTTTCCGTGGGCAGAGTAAAGTGCCACACAGTCATTGCTCATAAATTCATTCCAATTTTCCACTCACCTTGCTCCACTGATAGGTGTACCTATCAGTTTATATTCTCACCAGTAGTAACCACTTGCTAACACTCTTTAGGTGCAACTCTCAGGATATTAAAAAATATATAATATAGAGCTGAATACCAGCTCTAAATCAGGACATATCAGGAGATTCCTTTAAAGGAAAACCTGTTGAGGAGATGTTATATCCATGGTGTATATGTAATAAATATTAAAAAGGCAGCAAATCCCATTCTGATGAATACTAACTACAGGTCGGTTGCTTTTCACAAAGCTCTGGGACATACCACAGTCTGTACAGTGTGAGTGCGAGTGAGTGTGTGCATGCAGCAGAGCAGCTTATGATAAACAAAATCACCAGACTCCTCCCCCCATTAAGCCATCACTGGGTGCACAGGGAATAGCCTGCATCTTTTCATTCTGGCTGTGACCATTTCCTTCTGTCAGCTCCCTAGAGTTGCTGACCCCTTCCCCTCCAAAGAGACAGCTCTGTTCCAAAAGATAAACACCAGTAGTCACAGGGAACTTGGGGTAAAGTCAAACAAATCTCCCAGAATTATTTCCCTGGTTTTCTCACATAGAAACACAATCTTCATGCGTGAGTTTTTTCTGACTCTGGCAGATACCTTTGGAGCTATGAGGGCCAGGGTGCATCTCTGTAAGGGTGTGGGGTCAGGCCATAGATGGGGCATAGAGGGCCTCACATCCTCCTTGCTACTATCAAGGGACTCTGCCCCTCTGAGAAATCTCGGGGATGGAGGCGCACCTAGGTAGTGCCCGCTCGTGCAGAGCAGCCAGGAAGGCTGCTAGCTGACTGAGAGGCAGCAGAAGAGCTCAGCACACAGCTCCTCTGTGCCACATCAGGGAGCTGTCTGCTCTACACCCACACCGTCAGCTCCAGCTCTGGGTAGCCCGTGTGGGCAGGGGGAAGGCGCGAAGCTCAGTGCGTGACTGCAATTGACTTTCCTTCACTGTTATTGTCGGCAGAATACATACACTAATGCGGACAAGCTCCTAGAAGCAGCAGAGCAGCTGGCTCAGACAGGGGAATGTGACCCTGAGGAAATCTACAAGGCAGCCCGACACCTGGAGGTCCGCATCCAAGATTTTGTGCGTAGGGTGGAGCAGCGCAAACTTCTCCTGGACATGTCTGTCTCCTTCCACACACACACCAAAGAGGTAAGAGCAGGCAGTAGAGACAGGACTTTCATTGCGCTGATTTCTGCTGACAAGGGTTGCTTCCTAGCAAAAGCTGGGATACAGGGTGGTTGGGGGGTTACTAGCCATGTATTGTTAATATTAACAATTTGTTCCTTATAATCTATGTTTTGGTCTCCGCAAATGAGACAAAATTTTCTCATCTCCAGTAAGGGACCTGCAGAGTCAGGTGCTTTGGGGAGTCTGTAGAGCATTCTCTCTACTACTCGAGAAATTTGGGAATCCCTGGTTTAGAAATAGTCACTGCAAGAGGGAAAACAAGAGAACAGAGGCTCCCTACCCACCCACTTTCTCTTGGTTGCTGGGTTCTTTTGGGTCAGAAATCAATAGTCCTGTAGAACTTTTATCATCTTTTCTATTAGGAAGGAATATACAGTTTGAAATATGGTCTATGTTTTTCTTTATTTTACTTAAACAATTCTATCTTCTTAATGAGATTTGCCAAAGTGAGTTGGCCCTTACTTGCCTGGTTGTGGAGTGATTGCAAGTGAAGGAAGTGGGGATGAGGTGCCCACCAGCAAGAAGCCAGCTGGGCTTAAATCTGAACCTGAATCATTCATGAAGGGGAGAGGGGAGGATTATGTTACATTGTTGGCAGGGCAGAGGGGCTGTGGAGGGCTGGGAACCTGTGATTGCTGTTCATTTCTGACGGATGTGGGGCACTCAGCACTTGTATCAGTGGACAGTAAGGAGGCACATTTAACATCCTCTGTAATAACACCCTTGGCAGATGAACTCATTAGGTGTATGCTTGCTTGCATTCCCCCGGGAATTTATTTTAATGGGGTATTAATTAAAGTTTGATTGCTGCTCAGGAAAAAAAAATATAACTCTACTTAATTAAGTTGATTTTTGATATTTGAAATGCATTAAGAAGCCTGGCTGTTACTACTTCACAGGCTTTTCTGACACTTCATGGGAATGAATGCAAATCATTGCAGTGCCTATCAGAGAAAAACATGAAGAGATAATGTTTTCTAAACTGAGATTCCCTAGGCAGATGAAGGGCTGGCAAGCTCCCTGCAGCTGGCTCTGCTTCATCTCCACGGGACCCACGGGCTCTCTCTGATGAGTGTCTGTAGAGCAAGGGGATTAGCTTTAATCCAGGTTTTCCTGCTTAGTTGTCTGCTTGTTTGTGGCTCACGCGATTCTCAATAACGATCTCAGAAAGCAAGGGCATGTGCATTCTCTTTTCATTGTGAGTCTGCAGGTGATGGAATGCAGCATGAATGAACAGGAGCCCTGTTTCCTGTTGATGGGGGTGAAGGACAAGCCAGTTTTATGGTAGTGGCTTCCAGGAACCTTTCTAGTTACAAATGACTCAGTCTCAGATTTATGTCCAGTTGAGTTCCTGCTGGTGGGCTCCTCCATCCTACTTTCTTTATGGGCATTGACTCCACAATCAAGCAGGGCCAACTCACTCTGAGAGATCTTTCCTATCCAAAGGGCAAGAAGACTGTAATTCCAGTCCAGCTTCTGCTACTACAGAACCAATTGAGTTTGCAAATCAGGTTGTCCCTATTGGCCTGTCTCATCTATAAAACTATGCAGTTAAGCGTGTCTTTATCTGACTCTTGGTTTAGTTAACTTGCATTCCACATATTAGGGACACCACCCCTATATCTTTCTCCTTCTAACTTAATTTCATCCCTTTGCAGCGCCACCGTGTTGCTACAAATGGCATGCATTTATCTTTCTTGCTCACTGAGTACTACTCCTTTGTGTACATATGCCACATCATCTTGATCCAGTCATATGTTTTGAGGCAGTTAGGTTGTTTCCATAACTCAAGCACCAGGAGGGGCAGGGATAAAAACAAAGAGGGAAAAGAGCACAACGGACTATGGTGGTAGATGCACTATGGTGGCAATACCTGATGAGGGATTACCTCCGTTAATAATTATGTAATTAAAAGTAATAATAAATAAAAAATAGTAAATAAAATTATTTAGTTAGATTGGGTGGCCCTGAAACTCTTTATGATTTTAATATCAAGTCAATATTAAATTGATAATAACTAATAGTAATAGGAATTAACCTTGCCCTAGTACAAATGATTCATCTAATCTAAGATTTGTTTCATTGTAAACATTCAGTATATCTTAGTATATTTTTTTAAATTGAGTACTTACTACTTGCCAGCTACATATTAGCTCATATAACACTCATGATAATCCTATAAATTTTATTAACCATATTTTCAAATAGGGAAACTGACATTTAGAAAATAACTTGTCTGAGGTTATAGAACTTCTCAGTAGTTCAGCATATTTCATAACTGTTTTCCTGAACGCTGTACTTGAGCTTTTAACTCTCTATCCCACATTCTATCCTTTTTTTTTTCTTGATCTGTCCTCTAGTCTGCTCTTCTTACTTCTCCTTATTCTTTTTTCTTACTTTACATTTTCAAATCCTAAAGAAGGGACTTGATGGTAGGGCTGATATTAGGTGAAAAATGGAAAGTGTATCAAGGTTCAGTGTGAGCTGAAGTTATTAGTGTTGTTTTCCCAGATATTTCTCAAACCTTGCTGAGAGTTGAGACTTGTTTTCCCACTGAGGCTCAGATTATAAAAATCATGGGAATAAGGAAATAATACTAAAGACACTGAGTATGGGTGAGGACAGAGAGAGGAAACTAAAATGTGTTTAGCACAATCTGTATGTTAGACTAATCAATAGCCATGATGATTATCATTTTTATTCCAATTATACAGATCAGGGAAATTATTAACTTACCCCGGGTCTTATAACTAAGATGTAGTAAGTTGAAGAATTGATCACAAGTCTTTCTAAGACCATGTGTTTTCCTCCTTTGCCACATACACTTTCATATAAAGACCAGGAGGTAGAAACTTGGGAGAGTTTTCTCTACTAGGGAATTTATCAAGTAGGAGGCTATAGAAATCGATAGTCTCTTTCCTCAGGAGCCCAAAGTATGAGAGAAATTAGGAGCAGTCCTGCCTAAATGCAAAGAAGTTCTTGAGTAAAGAACTTTCTACTCAAGAGGTTTATAACTTTCAGTTCTAATTTTTTTTCAGGCTAGAAAGAAAATTGTCATTTTGAGTGATTCTAATAGAGGAGGTGTTTTAGGGGCTATCCAGCAGGACTTTCATCTGTATGTTTGCTCTCAGTTACTTCTTACTTACAAAAATAGTCTGCCTGAGACCCCCTGCAGGCAGAGTAGAGAATAAGATACATGTACATATTTACAGACCAAAGTACGTGGCACACATATATATTCATATGCATATGAACATGCACAACCACACATATGTATATTACACATACATGTTAATTACAGCAAGATCCTGAATGCTAGAATGATCTGACTTCCATATCTAGATCTCAAATAATTGGGTATGCTATGTATCTTTGGGAAAATTATTTCGTCTCTATTACTTTGTGGTAATTGTTTGGATGATTATTATGAAATTAAGTAGTACAAGATTAACTTTTTTTCTGGTAGAAAGCTCCCTCCCAAAAACACCCTTAGAGCATCTCTAAAGTAATCTTATTAAGAAATGTGAAGATTCACAGAGAGATCCTACAGGGGAGGGGGACAGAGAGGGATCAGAAGTGGGGGGAGATGTGGAGGACTATGGTGATGACATGTAGGGGAGGGATAAGTAAACATTATTGTAAAATGAACAACAATGTAAATAGATATATAAAAAAATTTTAAGAGTGTAAAAAAAAGAAATGAAGGTTCAGCTCAGGCATCATTTTTCCTTGAAATCCTTCCCTGAGACTTCTAGCTTCCCACCTAGTCATGACTAAAGCACTATTTGTGTACCTCCATCAGGGACCACACTGAGCTGATGGCTTCTTCCTCATTAAGCTGGAAGTACTCATATATAGAGTGCATATTTGGGGTAGATGTGTAAATAATACATACTATTGTGTCTCCTTACAATGTGTCTGACATGTAGAGATGTTAAATAAATCCTGAATGGGTATACTTGACAAAGGGAAGCTAATAATTTCTTCTACAAAAAAAAAAAAAAAGAAGGGAAAGAATAAAAAGCCTATACAGAACTTGTATATAAATAGGGAAACAAGGTGAAGGATCTGAATTGCCTAGGATAGCTTTTCCCTCGGATCTGAATACACGCAGAAATTTATTATTAGGTAGGCAGAAGGGAGTGTCTCCATATGATCTCATGAAGAAGGGCTGTGGTTTGATCTTTCTGTATTCTATTTAATACCTCTCAAGACTGCCACTTGTGAGTCCTCTTTGATCTGGGTCTATTAACTCTTGACTGTTTCCCCTTGGCTCTATAAGCAAACTCACTTTTAACTTGAGGCAGGGTTAATCTCCAAGTCTGTTAGGGAATTTAAGTTGCTGTGGTTATTTTCTCTCTTAAGTAAAGTGGAGAAATGGAAAGATGATTATCTACTCACTTTTGCTAAAGTGGCCTTGGGTGGTATTGGAGTTGCTGATAAATACTGTTGTATGTCTTCCTTGCTTAGTTATCTATAACTCCTTCCTCCTTTCCATTTTCTTGCTTCCTACAACCATGTACTGAGTTTTTCTATTATTGTCAATGTATAATCAAGTCTCATTGTAGGGTAGAATTTTGAAAGAATTAAAGCCCCCTTTGCAGGAGATTTCTGAATAGGAAGTAAACATGCATCTTCATAATGATTTAACTTAAACTTCTTATGACTCCCCAGACTAAAGTTCATAATTTTACTTTAGTGCACTTCATACATCAAAATATTTGTTTTTATTAGGACCAGAGAGGAAACTGGGGATCTAAAAGAAATATCTCAACCCATTTCTTCTGCTTTATCCTATTGTCCCCACTTTGTGGATTCTTGGAAACCATGAGTCTGGAGGATTAAAACCATCATTTCATTGTGGTTTTATTCATAATTTTGAATAACCAGAGACCATTTAAATATCCCATGTTGGGTTATTCATTAAACAAATCATAGTACATCTATAGTGAAATAGTATACAATCATACAAATCACATTGTCAAAGATCATTAATGACATGATTGAGAGCGTGTGGTATAAGATGCTAAAATTGTATATCCACATGGCTGCACTGTAAACACATATGTGAAGACTGGTAAGATATATGCAAAGATGTTAAGAATGTTACAGGAGATTTGATTTCCTTTGCATAATTATTTTTTTTTTTTTGTCGCCTAAGTTTTTTTCAGTGATAGTTTCAGTTGGAAATCAGGAACAATTCCAATTAACGTTATTGTACAAAAACAAAATCTTTCGTCCCCACTAGGAAGAGAGCTACTTGACAAAGAAAATTGCCAAATGCAAAAATGCCTGCATATGCATCATGACTTAGAGTGCTTGGGATCTTCTTATACATTCAGAGTCTCAGCTATTAGTACAAATTTTGCTAAATTTTCAAATATCTTCTTTCTGCCTGGGGACAAAGGGCAGCTGGCTATTTGCTAGTCTGGAGAATTAGGGAGGATGTAAGGAGAAATATTTACCCAAGTCCTTGTTTTCTTTGTCCAGAAAAAAGGCATTTATAGCAAGTGTCATCTACTCCACAGAGATTGTCCAGACAGAATTCTTTTTCCTTGGTGTGTTTCCATGGAAATGCTGAACTTTGCTGGGCTTTCAAAATATCCATTTTTAGATATTTTTCTAGTAAAAATGAGTCAAATTAACCAAGGAATGTGGCCAAGATAATCAACCACAGCTGTTTATTAGACAGCTTAATTAAATGCCTACTTCCATATGTTTTTAACTTGTAAAATCCTTTTCCCACTATTTCCTGCTCAAGTAGGTGCATACACCACAACACCATAGACATTCCCACATACACATGTTCCTCTTTACACTCATTGTGGAATCAAAACTAAATAAGTCTTCAAAAGGAATATTGACTTCAAAAGCGAAGTAGTTTCAGCCTGTATTTCAGCCACTAAACAGTCATGGTGTGTATTTGAGAAATTAAAATTGGCAGTCAATGCCAAAGAAAAATGATCACTTTAAAATGAGGGAGGAGGGCCCTCCCTGGTGGCGCAATGAGTAAGGACAAGGCATTGCAAGCTAGCCACAGTGCTTCAGTGTGAGTTCGATCCCCTACCCTGGAGGTGACCCACATGGCGTGGCAGACCTCTTCTGACCTGCCCACTGCTCCCCTTTGTCTATCTACCTGTTCTGCTCCCCACTCTGTCTCTGGCAAATCCTCTCACGGCCCCTGCACCTCTGGCCTATACTCCAGTTCTGTATGCATAAATAAATAAATAAATAAATAAATAAATAAATAAATAAATAAATCTTTAAAAAATATAAATAAAATGAGGGAGGAGGCAGTTCATCCACTGAACTTGTGCGCCTATTGACATCTCTAGTGGTCAATGAGTTGTATCAACACAGTAACTGCCAGAGCTATGCAAATTAGCCTATTAGCTGAGAAGGTAATGGAGCAAAATGAGCTCTTTTCTTGACCACTCATCTATTAGCCTCATTATCTCTGCAAAGCATCCATTTTCCCATTGTCCTTCTTTCCTGCTTTGTTCAGTAGGGCTTTTCTTAGGATTCCCCACTACCTTACCAGGATAGGCTTTGTGAGCTGGGCCCTCCAGAAATCACAAATTTCACTATTCTGTGTAGAACATTGAAAGATTTTCTTAACTCTCCCCCTGATAAGGTCCTAGAATTTTTCAAAGCAGCACATTCTTTTGGGTGTAGGTATTTTGGGTTATAACTACATGGATTCCTTGAGAGAAAGAGCACATAATGCCATCCACGTGTGTGTGTGTGTGTGTGTGTGTGTGTGTGTGTCCACGCATTGCTTTAACAGTAGGGATATATTCTGAGAAATGCATCATTAGGTGATTTCGTCAATATGGGAATGCCGTAGTATGGAATTACACAGTTCTGGATGGTAAACATATGGAATAGCCTATTGGGAGCCACGTCATTTGTATAGTCCATTAAGTGATGTATGATTATGTCAGCATGGGCCAAATAAAAACAATATGAGATCACAGCAGAGGTGCATTTTGATCAAGATGAGGCCGTCTAGAAATTGCTGAAACATGAGATCCTTTCTGAGCAAGGAATGAGTTGATGGAGAAGGTGCAAGGCTAATCATACATCAAAACTCAGGTTAGCAGAGAAGGAAGAGTACCCCTGGGGAGACAAACCAAGTTGGATCACTATAGAAAAAAATACCTGGCAGCTATTGCAAAGGTACCATAAGAATGAGGGCCAGTCTTACCCTAGCCAGTTTTCGGCATCAATGCCCGTCTTCCATGGAGATGCCCACAATTTTTATCTCTCTATGTTTCAATCTGTTTTAAAAAATATCTAGTCTGTCCGTTCTTTGGGCTTTCCATAGACATTTCAGAACAAAGCTGCAAAAACTGAAAAAAGAGGCCCAAATCAATTTAACATGTTGAGGAACCAAATCTAGTGTTGAGTGTCTACAAAGTTCAAAATGAAGGAGTATTTCACACTTTTCCTCTAACTTCTAGAGGAACTAGAGATGGCATGCATCAGAAATATATTTTAAATATAATAATAGTTAGCAATTGCATATATAGTATTTACTATGTACACTATATATTCATATATCCCACTTCAAAAACAGTGCCTGGTATATAATTTCAAGTGCTTTTTCTTAAATATTTCTTAAAGCATTATATTTAAAGTTGTCTGGCCAGTAATATTATCTTGAATGCATTTCTCCATCTTCTTGACTCTTTGGGGAAAATGCATCCTATTTTATTTAAGTTACATCTTTAGCATCCAACTTTCTAACCAACCTGGCAATCCTGAAAAGAACAAAATGATTGAGAATGACATGTATTTTTTAAGCTAATCATTACTTGGTTCTTTTGTACATGACATTCTTTTTTAATATTTGCAAAATCACTTTGAGGAATTATGTCTGACTGCCTGGAGGAAGTATTCAGAGCCCTTCTTTGTGAAAGATGAAATAATATTTGTCCATCACCTATCGCCTATTCTTCCCAGATGGTTCGATCTCCCTGCTCTATAACTGATTTCCCCCAAACCAGAGAAAAGTAAAGTCAAAGCTACCTTTTGTTCTTAGAATGTCCGTGATAATGGAGTAAACTTAGCAGGAATGAGTAGTGACTATCAATAGAAAAACAAACTGGCCCATAGGTGTACTGATGTGGACAGTCTGACATTGCACTGCCTGGCTGAGTGTAAGTTTGCCCCATCCATCCTTGTTGTCCCGCCCTGGCCTCTCCCCTCTGCCCTGAGTGGCGTCTCTGTTCTCTCCCCCACAGTTGTGGACATGGATGGAAGACCTTCAGAAGGAGATGCTGGAGGATGTTTGTGCAGACTCCGTGGATGCTGTCCAGGAACTGATCAAGCAGTTCCAGCAGCAGCAGACTGCCACTCTGGACGCCACGCTCAACGTCATCAAGGAAGGCGAAGACCTTATCCAGCAGCTCAGGTCAGCGCCTCCCTCCCTAGGGGAGCCCAGCGAGGCCAGGTCAGCATGGGCACTGCTTTCCAGTGGGGAATGCCTTGGACTAGATGCGAGATAAGTCATGTCCCAGTCTTGGCTCGGTTATAGCCAATTATGTGGTCTTGTGTGAGCTTTAGTTTCTCCATCTGCCAGATACAAAAATGCCTGCATATGCATCATGAGTTAGAGTAAAATAGTAAAAAAAAAAGTTCCAGTGTTCCAGAGTAATTTATTATTTAAGTGTTCCAGAGTAATTTATTATTTAAGATGTTATTCAACAAGCAATAAGTAACATAAATACAAGTTAAAGTCACAGCAATCAAAAGAATGAACTAACATCTTCACCAAGAACAATGGCATATTTGGTCATATGGAGAAATAGCCATTGTGAAATATAGTGTTGTTTGGCTGCTCTTAGGCTGAACTCCAGTAATTCAATCAGCAAAATGAGGCCCAGAATGGCTCTTTAACCCAGAAGGATGTAGAGCAGGTGTGTCCCACTCTGCTCTCCAGTACCTGCTTGTGACCTTTCTGCTCTCCCTTGCTGCCCAGAAAGCAAAGCTTCTGTGTCAACTGAAGCAAATCCAACTAGGAAGAAAAAATCGTGTCTAAAATCCTATTTTCATTTAGAATCAACCACACCATTGCCACCTTCCTTCCTTTTGCCATCACTATAGTTTCCTGACTCTGTCAAGGGCACCAATGTCTCAGATAAAGTGTCAGGAGGGCATGAGCAAGCCCTCAGCAACTAGCCCTGCACCCAGGTGCTATATAAATAGAATTTGATGGTGCTAATGATTCTGGCCTGCAGGGACTTGTTCCAATCCCCAAATCACTGAGTGCTGGGACCTTTGCCAGCTCTGGACAGAAATAATCTCATCAAGTCCCAGGCCAACCCTAGGGCCTGAGGGAATCACTTCAATTGGAGAGGGCTCGCCTCCCCACACCAGTTGGCCAATTAAATAAATAATGAGAATTTACCTTTGACTGAAAGGTAAATTTCTGTTGGAAATAAATCTTTTGTATTCCAAACATGTTCTGAGTCCCCCTGTTACATACTAACAAGACAGCTTCTTTCTCTTCTTCTCCCACTTCGATTTTGTGAATCTATGATACGTGATGATTTTGTTGGCCTCCCTAGGAAACTCCATTGTTATTTACTGCTGAAGAAAATTCTATTAGTGGGTAATCATTGATCCTCTCTGGGTGTCAGCTGTTTCATCTGTGTAATTAAGGGGTTCAGTCTAGGAATTCTTGTCAGCTCTGGAATTTTGTGACAACTTTGTGTTTTCTCTACATATACTTTTTCCAAGTTTGGCTGACTGTGTCAAGGGCATTGTGGGGTTGGGTCTATAGAGATACCACTTGAACTTAACAATTGCCAGCTTTGCACAATGCCTAAAGGCTGGAGGCGACTCAGTAATGACGAAGATAATGATGTAGCCGATACCTATTCTATAAGTTTGTTCACAGATTTTGGAGAGAACCATAAGTGTGTGACCAAGAACTGATGCTAAGGTTTCATTCCTCCCCTGAGCCAACTTTAGTCCAAACTCTGCTCCCCAATCTCCAGCCCTTCTCCCATATTAAGGCCAAAGTTAAAACAGAAAGAAGCAAATGATGCCAGGGCATTATCAGGATGCCACACACACACCAGAGAACGCATCTCCTCAAGACCTCCATGGTTTTTCTCACACTCACCTGTGATTTTTACATCATTTCTATGATTATTAGTGAGTATGGCACTGCCATAACTGCTGTACAAAAATGGTCAAAAACCATTCTCTTCCTTCTGGACCTGTGAGGGAAATATGGAAAGTCAGAAAGAGTAATTATACCATTACTGCAGCAAAATTCTCAACCAGTGCATAATGCAGAGCATTGAGTTATATGTTCTTTTCATGATGGGGGATGTCATGCAATGGTGAGAGTTTATGCCCAGATCTGTAAAAAGAAGGTAAAAACTGGGGGAGTTTCTTCACAAACTGAGCGTATGCTCCCTTCAGAAATAGTGGGAGCGGAGACACCATTACTCCAGAGACAAACAGGCCAAAAAGACTGAATGTCAGAAAGCGTGCTGATGGGAGCATTATGGGTCTTCCCCCAGTCTTTGGACTTTTTAAATTGTATGAGAGACTAATACAATGGATGTTCTCATTTAGTACATGTTTTATTTAGGGCTCTGACTTCCTCAAGCCCCCTGTGAGAACTACCTTACCCTCATCATTTTACTACTACTAGTCATTACTCCTTGGGCAGGTCATTATGTTTATCTCTCAGTTCCCCTCGACAGTGTGTTGCCTCCCCCTGCCACTTTTGTATAGACCCCATGTGCAGGAAGTATACCCCTGCATCTACTTGGCTGGGCCCACTTTTTCATTCTAATGTCCAAATAGAACTAATCCTCTTCGAATCCCTTATGCATGAGCCTCTTGTGCTCAAGCCTCTACTTCCTAGTTGGCCCTGTGCCCCCATCAGCACTTGACTCTTCAGTTGTGTCCTTCTGAATCAGCAGAACTTTCCTGCCCCCAGAGCATGTTTGCTGCCTACTTAGCAGCAAACCAGGAAGTGAACAGGACAGCGATTGTCAAGTGCACTTTACAGGAGGCAGCTGGTGCTCAGGGAGGTGGTTTCCTAAGGCCACCAGCCCAGGTCTGTCAGAGCAGGGACGTAATCTTGGCTTGCCACCTTCTAATCCCATGCTTTCCTAACTGCACTTGGGAACCTGGTTAGTAAGGCCAGCCCATAACTTACGCATGGCATTAGAAAGTGAGTGAATAATTTTGGCAGGCATGATCTCATTTTATTTTAATAACAATCCTGAGAGAAAGTGAGTGAATAATTTTGGCAGGCATGATCTCATTTTATTTTAATAACAATCCTGAGAGGTAAAAGTAGGAAAGGAAGGGGTTTTTGTCTTCCCCATATGCCTTCAATTTGTGTACTTCTATGTTGTGGTATGTCTATATGTGTATATGTATTACAACTATATGTATTAGAAATATGTGTGTGTGTGTGTGTGTGTGTATATATATATATATATATATTCTCTAATATATTACGCTGTATAGAGTCCTTCCCATGTTATTTCATTTGATTCCTTTCACAATTCTCTCTGAAGAAAAGGAGAACAGGTGCTCTCAGAGCACCAGTGCTATGAACCCCAATGAGGGGCTTCGCCCACTGGTAGTTTGTGCCAGACTGGCAGGAGGTGTTTGATCAGTGTTTGGCGACTGAATGACTCAACTAAGTCCCATCCACTTTGCTCAGATGAGGAAGGCACTCTGTCCTCTACCACTTCTAACATGGCAAGGCCCTTGTTTTTTTCCTCCCACTCTGCCACAGGGACTCGGCCGTGTCCAACAACAAGACACCACACAGTAGCTCCATCAGCCACATCGAGTCAGTACTGCAGCAGCTCGATGATGCCCAGGTACAGATGGAGGAGCTGTTCCATGAGCGGAAGATCAAGCTGGACATCTTCCTGCAGCTGCGCATCTTTGAGCAGTACACCATTGAGGTGAGGTGGGGAGGGGATGAAGAGTAGTGGGAAGTAGAGGGGCTTTGTAGTCAAGGAGAGTACCGGGGTGGCCTGAACAAGAGTGTTGGGCAGTAGCCTGCGGGAATCAGAGGGGATTATACATCAGGGGTACATTGTAAGATAGCAACAAATTCATGTTCCACCACGTTATATTCCTTCTGGCCCTTCTCACCCCCATTGTCAAGCAGAGCCCCTCGATTTTGCTTTCTGTTGGGAGATTACTTCCTTGAGCAGGGTTTAATTGGTATGCTTTCTTCTTTGGTTCCTGAAATACCATGGAGGTAGAGTCCGTGGAGTCTACAGTTTCATGAAGAAGTTGATGTAGCATTAGGTGGGCCACTCCACTGATGTCTACACATCAGGGGTTAGATGAAATCACACAGCAAATCAGAAGCTACAGAGAGGAAGACCTGTACCCTCAGTTTGCTGTTTGCTTATTTAGAAAGTAAGTCTGTCCTAAGGTCATGTGTTGGTTCATCTTACAGACTCCGTAGTTCTTTCTTTGAAGGTCAGAATCAAATAGTTATGTTCTCTTTGTGGTATCTATTAATAACATCTACCCTCTCATAATAGCTACTTTATAAAGGGACGATCTACTCTTTGCAACAGGCTGGTGTGGATGGGGTGGGGGTTGGGGGTGAAATTCTCTAGTCATCATTTATTAAAGTTTAATAAATGATTAAACTTATTCTAATATCTCCTTGGAGTTGTGGCTTCTGGGATTCTGGGGCTGATATACCCAAGAATATCTGTGGAAACTTTGGTGGAACTGGATTGGAAGCAAAATAAGTTTTTTTAATATTAAAAGCTCCACTATCCCAATTACAAACCTATACTGGACCAGAAAAGTGTCCTAGTAGTAGATGTCCTTTTTTCAATCACGAGTCCAATGATTGAAATGTTTCTATAGAGAATTTGAAACATAAAAGAAAGCAGTTCTAACTATAGTCCTCTTCCTATCCCTAACTCTCTTATAATCTCTTTCATATAAATACACATCTAACCCAGACTACCTAGAAAATCACTGTCAGTTCTTGCTCATAGATTCATGTTCTAAACGGTGCTTTTGGACAGTTTCTGGAAGAGAGGAATAGATAAGTCTTTAGGTCTTGATTAGCCTTCCAACTTACTCCATAACTTTAGGTCAATTTCTTTTTTCTTTTATAATTTACTTTCAAGCTGTACTCAAAAGGTCTTCAGGTGGCAAATAGCATTAAACCAGATTGAATGAAAAATTAAATGCCAAAGGAAAATGAGAGATGTTGGCATGTAGAGAAGAATGAATGTGGTAAACATCATAAAGGTGAGGCAACAAAGGTCATAAAAATGGAAAAGGGAGTGTGAGTACTTATTCACTAGTAATTGGGGCTGAGATTCACAAGAACAGAGGTTTGCAGTCCTTCCTCAGCTCTGTTTTGCTCACTGAAAGTGTCTGTATGCCTGGAGAGATTGTGTTAGCAGGTGTGATTTTGCTGCTGGAGTATTTATTTACTCTCCTGTCATTCCTGACCCACATCAAAAGTTGCCTAGGTGGAAGGAAATAACCTGAAGGTTTAGATGTTTGAGTTTTATTTGATTAGGTGGATGTGATTTTGAGGTCAGGGTTGCTGGTTTGCTTCCAGAATGGGTCACTTAGTGGCACCCTGATGATAGCTGGTGGCGTCACTGCAGTGGATTTGCCTACACTGATTCAGGGAAAATTCATTTACACTCTTAAAAACAACCCACAGTGAATGCAAAAGCACCATTAAATAATAGATGGGTGTAAAACAAACTGGCTCCTATTTAAATGCTGCAGTAGAAAAGCTTAACACTTAAATTGTAGGATTTGCATTCTTCATCCATTATATGTAGAAAAATTCCCCCTCCCATTATGAGTACTGAGCAAGAACTTGGATAGCTTGATGTACAGTAGAGCAAAAGTAGAGAAATAGTATAATGGCTGAAAAAAAATGAGGGAGATAAAAAATATGAATTTGTTTCTGTACCTTCTTGTTTAGGCAGTGAAATCCAAGTCTTAGAAGGGGCCTTGTTCCCCATGCTGGGTGTGACCCAGAACTTGGGAATATATTATGTTTCATCTTAGACGGAATTCTGCCAAACCTATGGAAGTGTTCTGTTTCAAATCAGATTGGCAGAAGTTATTTTTGAGGATGGTGAGATTATTTCAAATACCAGCCAGTATCTCACTGTGGGGACAAAGAGCAAAATTCTAGAGAGGATTTGGTGTGAAAGTGGGGGTGGCTTCTTTAGTAAGAAGACATTTAGATCTGAGTTAAGCCAGGACCTACAACTGTGGCCTCCTTCCCTAAAAAAAGGCATTTGATGGGCATACTCAGAATTCTTGGGAATTAATGAAAACCAGAGCAGGCCTCTCCCCTGACCTCTGGGGAATCTGAATGTGAATCCTTGGTCATATTACTGATGACTAAGATGGGATAATTAACTTAAAAATTAGATACCTCATGAGTTACTACACCACTTTCCTTCATTCAAAATATGGTGTATATGACTCCCAGAGTATAATCTGGGGTAAGGTCATAGAACACCCCCAGGAAGAGTGAAGCTTGTCCCAAATGTTTAAATCAGGACTGCATTCCTGACATACCTTCCCAGACTCCATGGAGATTAGAAAAAGTAACCCAAACTGGAATATGGTCTATAAAGTTTTGGGTGGTTTTTCCTGTAGGCTCAACTTCCCTTCAGGAAAGACATTGTACATGAAATGGTTATGATGAAAGAGACACTTCACCAAATGTGAATAATTATTTTCTGGTGATAAGAACATGGGTGATTTTTTGGTTTATTTTTGATGCTTCTATGCATTTCAACTTTTCTACAATTAGAATGATCAGAAAGAAATTAAAAATATTTTTAGAAATTAGAATAGGTCATTGGTCTTCAGACTCCTGATTATACTAACTTTTGGTATTTTTGAACTTGCAATACCCTATATGTGCATATATATTAGTTTATAAATTATATATTATACTATTTTTGAAAAATGATCTGACAATTCAGTATGCCCTTAGGTAGTTCCACATTTTCATTAGAAGTTGTGGTTACATATTTCAAATAGTCTTCTCTATACTTTCCAATTTTTTTTGGCCTACTTTCTTGACAGATCTGATTAGATTGTCATTGTTTCTTTGTCCTACGATGTAGCCAATAAAATGTTCCAAGTTCTCATAATTTCATTAGTACTATCATCAAAAAACAGTTTCTTTGAAGATGTGTTGTTATAGTCTTGTGTCTTTTTGTGAAGGTAAGTTTATTTAAAGCTAGATAATAGGTACATTCACTTAATTAGACACAAGAAAAGAGCAATAATATGAAGTTTTCTGGAGGCAACTGAAAAATGAGCTATAGTCAACCCCGCCTCATTGTAATGCACCCACCTTCCCAGAAGAACCCTCACCTCCCATGTGGCTGGAGTGAGGCTATAGTAATAGTCTAGGGGAACTGCATTTACGTTTATTTATCTGATAAAATATGTGTATAGATTATATACTCAAAACATATGGAAATATTTTAAAATATTTATAGAGTGAGAATTTTTCTCTTTGTTACCAGTGGATAATCTTAGGTACCCCTTGGTCATATCCATGTTAGAAAGTACTAGAACTTTTCAGGAAAGTTCCTCTAATCAACTTTATGAAAAATGAACCATGGTTATGGACTTTCAATTTTCTGACTGTAATTACAATAAAAGTTTGCTTAATGTGCCTGAAAATTAATCTGAGTTATTAACCAGAGTCAAGAATGGAATTGTCAACCATGCTTATATGGGGTTCACCTTCAAATAAGTTAGGGTTGAAAAAAGTGGGTTTCAAGTAGGAAAATTTCACCTAGAGAAGAAAAAGCTGAATATAGCTTACTGGGTATCAACTCTTCGATTGGTTATATGGACAAGCTCTTAGCATTTTATATTTGAAAGGTGTCATCTAATCACTTTTTCATCTGATATAAATTCAATTCATATTTGGTGAGTACCTTCTTTATTCAGAAAACTATACTGGGTGTTGACGATACAAACTGTCCTTATCATTAAGTTCCACTTGGAGAAAACCACTAAAACGTAGATACTGTACTGTGTGTTAATTCTATGACAGAGAGAGGCGCATGTTTGATATGAATACCAAGGCAGGAACATCCTAGTTTAGACAGGCTTTCCTGGTGAGATTATACCTGCAAGACAGGTAAAAGTTGGTAGCCAATATTTGGCATCCCTGAAGGATGCCTTCCAGCCTGATATCTCCAGAACCCAGAAAGTGGCAGTTGAAAGCTTACAGAGTGGGAGAGGGAGATTTCAGGATTTCATAATTATGTTAAACCAAAATCTGTATTCTCATCCCTTTAGTGCTACTTTTGTTCTCTAGAAAAACAGACCAAATCTCTTTTAATCTCTTCTCTCTTTTATTTGGCAGCTTTAAAAATATTTGCAATTGGTCATCATAGCCTCTTGTCCTTTCTCTGAAAGATGTTGAGGTTGTGTAAGTTATTTCTGCAATGCTTTGTGACTCTAAACATTCACCAGTTGTTTCTCTTCATTGTCAGCCCTTCTGTGTGGTATATATCACACCAACTTATTGACCTCCTCTGAATGTGCCTTGGTTTCCAGACACCTTACTTTCCTACCCTTTCTCTGTTGAAGGGAACCTAGTTAGCTGGATGGCTTACATACTCACAGGTTGAGTGTGGGTCACTTCACACTGGCCCTCTCCCACTGCAGCCCAGTGATCAGCCCCTTTACACTCCACCACCAGCCTTGCTAAGTTTGTGCCCCCATCTTAAAAGCCTTAGTTATTTTTTCAAGGTAAGTATTTCCAAGACATAACTCTTTTTAAGTTAAAATGATAGCTTTTAATATGCTTTTCCTCTTAAACTTTACTACTTTTTTTTTTTGCCCAGAATTTTAGCCTATCAAAATAAATTCAGTGTATTTGCTTTCAACATGTGGCTGTTTGAAATACTGACCA